GCACAATAAACAACGGGAAGAAGAACCACTACTGGGTGATGACGAGGCACGAAGACGGGTGGGTATGCTTCTGGGAAGTGACGAACAAGTGCATTATCCACCTGAGGCAGAGATGGAACAGCAGCAAATCAGGAAATGAATTAGAAGTGAACAATCAAAAGGAAATAATCAGCAAGATGGTGGAGGAGAGTGACAGGAAAAAATATTACACTGGGGAATATTTAGCAAACTTTATCCAATACGGGCTAGAGGAATTAAAAAAGAGAGAGAAGCAAATCAAGGACGAATACGACATGAAGGAAGAAAACAGACTATATAATATGGACCTTTATGGAGAGAATCACATGAAAGATGAGCATGTAGACGTACGGGAAATCCTTTTCAACGATGAGGAGATGTTTAATAATACGTTTGAAGTAAAATTTGAAAAGAATGAGACATACAGTTCTAGTAAAGCGTTAAAATATTTATTGGAGAATTTTTCTAAGAATATTCCCATTGCTCCAAAGATGTCTCTGCTGGATTATGAGAAGACTTTAGCTTATGTGCCTTATTCGTCCATCGAGGTCATTTTTAATGACGAGCAGCTGTATGGGAACATGCAGAATCATCACCCCGCGTGCATTCTGTACGATTTGGAGAACAACTACCAGTGGCGCCCCCTTCTGAATCACTCCCCCATCCCGATCAAGAGTGAAATTACCATATCGACCCCGTTGAGCGACAGGCTTTCGTAAGGCACATCGGAGTCAGCGGCGTGAGCAGTGTGAGCGGCGTCATCCCTTTCATCCGTCTCTGCGGTGTCGGCGAAGAAGTCTGTGGAGTTTTTCCCCCGGTGGATAAGCCAGCCCTGTTTGCCCTTGCCATGCGTCCTTTCATGCCTCTCGCCACCCCATTTGTAACTTTCCTCCCCACTCCCTCCCCCCCGCAGCGTGAAGTACACGAAGGATCTCGAGGATGAAATTCAAGAGATGATACTCTTCATGAGGACCAAGGAGGGACTGGAGACCTCCTTTGAGAATTCCAAGGAGATAAGACATTTCCTAGAAATGTACATTGACCTGTGTGAATATAAGCTCAACTTGGACAATAATTACAACACGAAGCCTGAGAATTATGACCGTACAGGGGGGGATGAGCCTAAAGCGGGTCAAAACAACACTGCAACTGCAGAAGCGGGAGGTGCATCCCCCCAAACAGGTATAGGATTAGTCGACAACGGAGGAGAAAATCAAGGAGATAAAACACAAATGAGAAAAACGTGGTCTCAATATAAGAACGATTATTACCCCAACATTGAAGCACAGTACGTTAATAAAGATAATTTTAACTTTTATCAGACCTACCACCCAAGTGAACACACTGATATGCTAAAGCAGGAGCAGAAGAAGCACCTGGTAAACATCCCAGAGGATTACATATACGGGATGAATGATGAGGTGTACAATAATGGGAAGGAACAGTACATAAAGAACTACGTCTTTTGTAGGAATAACGCGGACATCCTAAATAACTATGATGATAGTGTGAAGAGGAAAAATATAAAACGGTTCAGCAATGCACCTGTGCATTACCAGGAGAGGGCCGACGTGGGGGGAGAGTGCACTGATGGGGGGAGTGATAGGGGGAGTAATAGGGGAAGTGATAAGGGGAGCGCTAAGGGGAAAGATCCCCAAATGGGGGAAAAGATAAAATGTGTCCTTACCCCCAATGGAGGGGAGGCAGCTGAAGAGAAGGATATCCCAACCATGACGGGGGGCGGTACCATCGACAGAAAAGGGGACTCATCTAGTGAGGCGAATGAGGAAGAGGAGTTGTACAAAGAAATCAAAGAGAAGTATCACTACGATGAGGAGAAAACGGAAGAGGAAGACAAAGGGGAGGAGTCGGAAGGGCGGCACGGCTGCATTGAACGACAAGATGTTCCAAACAAGTATATCAAGAAGTACAACAAAAAGTATGATAACCTTCTTAAACTTCAGAAGAGTTTGAAGCGGAAAGAGAAACAGATGAAGGAAGAAATGGTGGACGTTAAGTTGGGGGGGGAATTTTTCCAACGTGGTCGGCTAGGTAGAGAGTCCTTCTTCAGCTATGTAGACACACAGACATTTTTGAAAAGCATCTTGGGGGGAGGAAAAACACATACAAAGGGGGTTAATAAGTCAGTGCATGATAAGAGGTGCGCTATATGTCATCATCTGTTTAATGGCTACCTTATTATCCCCTCGAGGGGGGACCATTGGGGAGACGGCACTGATGATGCCTGCAAGGGGGAAGTGACACAGCGGGGGAGAAGAACCGGTGACAAAAGCGGTGACAAAAGCGGTGACAAAAGCGGTGACAAAAGAGGTGACAAAAGCGGTGACAAAAGCAGTGACAGACTCGGTGACAGAAGCGGTCGAGCGTACCGCCTGAGGAAGCCACACCCCAGTGGGAACAAGTTACGTGAATTAGTCGCCAAGTATAAAAAACGATATCACAAAAAAAGGATGGAAAGGAAGATGCATAAGTTAAAAATGGCTCTGCTAAAGCGTAGGATTAGGGGGAAAAGGAAAAGAAGAAGCGATGCATGTTTTGAGAGAAACCCATTCGTCATTCAGAAGAAGGTGCAAAACAGAAGAAAAAGTTCCCCTTCGTCGCCTGATACAGAAGTGATGGGCGCGTTGCAAAGGAGGAAGCTGTTCCTTTGCCAGAGCCATCATCAGATGTACGCGGACCAGCAATTCCTCGACATGGGCAGCAACCCAGTGGGGGGTTACCAGGTAGGGCTTCCCCGGATTATCGCAATTTGGGAGAGGCTTGACTGCGCCTTCATCGAGGCGTGTGCAGACATTTACGGTACATCCCGTCTCGCCCAGAACGGGGGCATCCATGACACTTATGACACCCATGTCGTCCATGACGCTCGTGACGCCCATCACACCAATGCGCTTTTTTTTCTTTCCCATTCGGGCAACTAACCTTTTCAGCAGAGCATCGCACAAGAGAAACTGCATAATAGCTACTCACACAACCCGGTGATGCAAAACCGTTACGCAGATAATAATGCAAGTGATATGTTACATGGGAACAACTTCCAGGGAACCTTCTATGAACATGTGCAAGGAAAAAATACAGACGACAGACTGGGAGCTAATGTGAACACTCAAACTGGTGGGCAGCATCTAAACGGACCAACTGAATCAAAGGAAAAAGCTCCCACATCGATCCCTCCAAAAACGTGGAGCAGATTAGACCCCACGTCCAAGTATCGTGCTCATCAGATTTCACAGTGGAATTGGTATTACTCATTGGTAAAATTGGAGAGCATCACATGGGGAGAAGTAAAAGTGTGCGTTTTGCCTCCAAAGGGGATCCACTTATAATTCATGTCCACGTGGGCACAAAACGTAGAGTGCACTACACTCAGCATGTGCAGTGCGACACACAGAACATGCGACACGGGACAGACAAAGCTTGCTGCACCCGTTTCTTCCTCGTTCCAACTCATGCTCGCGCGACCCGCCCCCATTTTGCCCCTCAGGAGGAGCAGTACTTCAACTGGCAGTACTACAAATTCCCCGTACCGCCGAACCACACGTTCGTTGGGTTCCCGATTCATTTTTCGACCATGGGTAAGTTGCGCAGCTGCGCAGTTGACCGGTTGATCGGCTCATCCCTTTTGGCGCTTCACCAACTGAGGTGCTGGTCAATTGACAGACTGATTCACCGCCCTCCCCGCAGATTTCTACGAAGTCAAGTCATTCTTGCTGCACTCCAAGCGATTCGAGAACATCATGAAGCTGTCCATAGACAACATCTCCTTCCTCATATATTGCAAAGTGTTCCCCTTAATTGGCGGGATCATGTCAAACTGGATGTTCCTGGGCTGTTTGGTACCCTGGATGGTAACGTGCAAAAAAGAGAAAAAAGAAAAAAAAAAAAAAAAAAAAGCGACAATTTGCCTGAACGGTTTATAATTTTTCTTTTCTTTTTTTTGAAAGAACAAAAAATGGCTGTTTAATAGACACACAACTGTTTGCCTTTGGGCAGACGTATGTATATGCGTTGAGACAAAAAATAAAAAAACACCACCCCCTTCGCTCGTAGACTGCACAAGAGCGGGAAACCAAAATGAAGAAGCCCCCGAAGAAGGACGTCAACCAGAGGTAGAAGTGGGGACGAAAGGAAGAAAAAGGAAAAAAAAAAAAAAAAGTGTAAAAGGGGGATGGAGCATCCACAAGGCACATAATGACGGTTCATAACAGGGTTGGAGGAACAAAGAGGGCCGAGAAATTTCTTCCCCAAAAGGGGAGGCACCTTTTAATCGTCACCTTGTTTAGTATTTACAAACTGTTACGAAGAGATTGTTCCCCAATTAATGGGTTAAGTTGGCAGTCTTCCGCATAATGATACACTTAAAAATTGGCGGAGGGAGAGAAGGAATTTTTCCCTTTGCCACTGTGTAGAATGCCACGACATGCGTCATGTCAAGCATTACGCCACTTTTTTTGTTCGAAACTGTTCATTTTGCTACCACCAGTAGGAAGTTTTGTGTGAAGTGAGAACAGTGTTTCCCCAGAAGGGATTTCACTTCCCCGAGTTTTGCAAAAATGCTGCCTTCGCTTCTCCAAAAAAGGGACACGCTGGGATGGCGACTGCACGCGACTTACCGGATGGTCACTGCACACTTCTTCACCAACATTTGGACAATTTTACTTTGCAGCTCATTTACAGCCCTATGGGTAAGGTTCTGACTATGGGACCGGTAAGTTATTCTATAGCAGACACTCGTTTGATTGTTCCTGGGGTTGTGGTAAGAATCTATTTTTTTTACTTGCTCGATATTTTCGCTAGCTATATCTCTGCAAATTTGAAAGAATAGATTTTCTTTAAATTGACTGGTGACATAAAAGGAGATGTCTTTTTCGACAGGAGGGAAATTACTGAAGGGGTGGAATGTGGTTATTACATCTTCCTCAAACTGATCTATGAATCTGCTGTCGTTACTCCAAAAAAGACGTATGTCGTGGATGTGGTAGAGCAGCATGGCTAGTCGCTCAAGTCCGATTCCGAAGGCCCATCCTTGGTACCTAATCGTTTTTAAGAATTTGTTCATTTGAGCATCAATTCGGTTGTTGAGGGGGGTGCTGCAGAGCTTGTCCAGGATATCCTTCTGGGTATCCTCAGTCGCGGCGGCCTCATTGATGGTGCCCTCACTCTCTGCAGCATCAATCGCGGCCGTCTCAATCGATTGGAGCTGGATCAGGAGGCCCCTATCATGGCAGGCAATCTCGTCCTCTATTATTTGGCATATATCTTCCGCGTGCAGGGCCATGGCGATGACTTCCTTTTTGATTTTCCCGCACCCGAGGACCTCCACCCAGCGGAGTTCTCCACCGGGAGGGTCCCCATCTGAGGTGCCTACACAAGCATCCCTGTTGTCATCTCGAGTCGTGCCAGTTCCTCCTGACGATGCCCCTCGGATGTACAGCTCGAACGAAGGGTTGGTAAACGGAAAGGACGTGTTATCTTCCCATTTCATCGGTATGTCAGAAGAAGCAAACAAGTATCGAATCAATTGTTGAAGGTTTCTCTTCAAATCCGTTTCGACGTCAAAGTTGTCGGGGCGGATCAAAAACCCATCAGTCTGATGGAAAATGGGAAAGTGAAATCTATCAATTTCGTCCCTTCTGTAGACATTTCCCGTGTAGATAACATTTTTGTAATTTCGCCTTAACAGGTCAGGTAAATGTGCAGTCATATGAGTCCTTTTCAGCAGGACGTTCTGATGGCCCACCAATTTGGTGGCTAAGTAGTATTTATAAATGCCATTGGTATTCTCTAGAGGAGTGTATACATCATTATGGAGAGTCGAAAAATGTTTTACGTAATTTTCACTTAAGTAAAATGTATCTTTTATGCTCCTAGCGGGGTGTGTGAGCGGCACGAAAAGCTCATCAAAGTTTTGCCTCACACTGACGTCACTGTTTAGGTTATCCAAAGATTCGTATTTGAAGAAATTTTCGATTTTTTTTTTAACTGTCCTTATTGGGTGATTTGTAACATGGTATAATATTCTTCCTTCATTCGCCTGGATGAGTTTGGGCAGTGGCAGCACCATTGCGGGTGGGAGGTTGCTTCGAGTGTGTTTGGCGTGGCTATCACATGGTTGGTAGGGCGACGCGGAAAGGGGGAAAGCAAAAAAAGAAAAACCACACTGCAGAGGGTTACTTATGGGAGGAGCTCACCTGGAATGGCAATGCACATAATCGGGGTCGCTTTATCCGCGGGTTTTTCCTCCCCTGGGGATCGTGAGGGTGGAAGCAAATTTTGTTGAAAGTTGAGTTGCTTTTTGACTGATTAGCCTTCCCACGGGGTAGCCTTCCTGCTGGTTAGCCTTTCCACAGGTTAGCTTCATACGCGATTTGCTTCCTAGCCGATTTGCTCTCTCGACCAACCGGACTGGCGCCCCTCCCACAGAGCGTTTCGACACTGCACGGGGTATGTGTTGAGGGGAGTGGCATGCATATGGGTAGTGTATATACCTATATGTTCCTATATATTTTTACGCTGTGCCTATTTAACGCTGTACAGCGGGGCGGGACGAGTCCTTACGGGCGCTCTGGAGGTGGCAACTAGATTCACCTTTATGCGCGCTGAACAAGCGATCGAAGTGGGAAATTCACACTTTGAAAAAAAAAAAAAAAAAGTGTATCAGGGTCACGCATCATTGGGAAGAAAAAAGTAGGAAACCTACATGGCTGACTGGGACCGATTTTATTCCTTTCTTCATGCGCGACAGGTGTGGGTGCACCGCGCGGGATCCACGCACAGGTGAAAGGAAAGCGTTTGGTGCAGGGGAAGTAAGTGTTACGGCTGTGCGTGCAGAAAACCCCTCCTAATGCCTTTGTGGATAGGCGCATCGGTGTCCTAGACAGATTAGTACACAGAGCCACGTTTGGTATGAAAACCTGAAGGGGGGTGGCAAATTCCCACTTTTCTCGTCGCACCGTTAAACGGGAAGAATGATCCCTTCCTTCAGTTGGAGTCTAACGCTCCGCCGTTGATGAAGCGGCTGCATGCACGAGGGGGGGTGGAAAATACGCGAAGGAGTGACCCACACCACCCTCCTGTTTGTAAGCGTATGCCGCGTTTTGATTTAAAGAACGGACGGCGCTGCGGTGACTTTCCGCCAAGCCGAGTGGATGTGCCAAAGGTGGTACCAATGTACGTTCGCAGGTTGGCACGCTAGTATGTTCGTATGTATGCATGCTCTTACTCTTCTACGTCTGTACGCTGGCACGTTTGTATGTATATCTATGTATGCCCCTGAACGTTTTGGACCTATTCCGGGCCACGCGCTTGGAGGAGAAGCTCACCTGCAGGGTACCCTTCTGTTCATGTGCAGCACTGCGGTGACTACACCCATTGGGATGGTTATACGCATTGGATCATTCTAAGCACTCCGACCCCCCCCCTCGAAGGTACAATTCCCCGCGGTTTTGTACACAGGGACACCACACCTGGTGTTCTGGCGCTAGAGCACCCACCCGTTGCTTTGCAGATAATTTTCTCGCCTATGCTTTTCCTGTCTATTGACTTCGAAGAAGTTGGAGCCTTTTGTCCTTTTATGCGTACAACGGGTTGCTAGTTGTATGTCTTTAGGAAAAAAAAAAAAAGAAAAAAAAAAGAAACCAAGCTAAAAAAGTTCCAAAAAATTGCAAACATTTCCACAAATTCCAGAAAATTTCAAGAAATTCCAAAAATTCCAAGAAATTCCAAAAATTCCAAAAGATTCCAAAAATTTCCACAAATTCCACAAATTGGAAAAAATGGAAAAAATCGCAAAACATTCGAAAACTCCCCGTTTTAATAATACATAACACGACTTCACTTAAATCCTTTTTTGTGCTATTTAATTGGTAAAACATTGCCTTTTCATTTTTGTTTATTCTAATTTTTTGTGTCATTTTTTCTTGGGTTCCCTATTTTTTTTTTGTTTATATTTTTGAACTTTGCTTTTTTTTCGTCGAGGAAATTTTGGGGCAAGAAAAAAAAAAAAAAAAAAAGCCAAATGGTAGGAAGGGACAAATTAAAGAAAATAAGAAATAAACAAAACGATTTATTAAGAAGAAAATAAATTATGAAACGTAAAAAAAAACAAAAAGAAAAAAAATAACGCAAAGAGGGAAAAAAATAACACTCTCTGCGTACCCTGAAAAGATACATTTTATTTATTATTTTTTTTTTCTGTTACCTTTTTTGATTTTTAACCGCGAAAGAAGAAATGCTTAAGTATACGTGAGGGTATATAACATACGCATATATAATATATATGTATGTATTATTTCCTTCCAGGCTCGCGTTTACGCTCATCTGTATGCTTACCTGCACGCTTATGTTTATGATTATACCCTACGGAGTTGCCCCTACTTGTATGTGCTTCCTTTGTTACTGGGGGGGGAGAGGGATACGCGATGCTAGTTGCCTATCTTTCGTAACCCCCACTACTAAGATTGTACCTGTTGGGAGCATTTTCTTCAACACAACAGGGGGGGGGGGAAGAGTCTACATGGGGAGAGCCTATGCCCACAGACTTGAGAGAGTGTAGCTGACATAGATGGTGGGGGGAGAGACAACCCCTCGAGTAGCTCCATTCCGTGCATACCTTTATATGAGAACAGTTTTGCTTTGTTTGTTTTTATCTCCCTCTCCACACAGAGACACACAGAAACATCCAGATCGGCGTTCCTTCCGCTGTTTCTCTAACCCCCTTGCCTAGTAACCCATTTCCACCTCTTCGCAACATCTCTTTTTGTGCAAAACTGATATAGACGGTTCAGCTGCATGTCTTCACGAAGAGAGTGGTTTGTGGGATACACCATCCTGCAGTCCAGTTCTCCATTCGCCTTAGTGTGCCCCCCGGGTTGTGCCACTGGAAGGGGAGGGCTACTTCCCCTCCAGGAGTCTCTCCTCCTGAGTGGCCTACTCTCCGGCATCGTGCCGTATGCCACCTGTTAGATAGCCCATACACAGACACGCGCGGAGGAGCAGAAGTGGATCGTACATTATTTGGTCGAAGGGTGTACAGCGGGTGGGCTAGAGGCGTCTAATAAAGAGGAAGGGAAAAAAAGAGATAAGCCAGAAGGGGGAAGCGTTTCTTTACAGGGCAGTTGGGTCGGCGGTTCCTCCGCCAAGTTTGCACCAGGCGGCGTAGTTTCCTCGGCAGGATAGTTTCGTTAGCAGCATCGTCTCCTCGGCAGGATAGTTTCCCCTGCGCCGCCGCTTCTCCGCCTCGCAGCTTCCCCGCCATGGAGAGGGGAGAGTTTTACCGAAAGTACCAGGAGTACTACCAAAATGACATTAACCAGATTCCGCCGCTAATCGAGGGAATTGACATCGAGCTGTATGATCTGTATTTGAGCGTGCTGAGCCATGGGGGCTACTCCTGTGTTAGTAGAAATTCTAAGTGGGTTAAAATAGCAAGAGAGTTTGGGCTCATCAATAAGGAGAAAAATATAAAACTTATAGAAGACATAAAATGTATTAAGGAATACTACCTGACCTATCTGAGAGAATTCGAAAGAATCCATGATAACATAAAAAAGGGAAAGGTATCCCCGAAGAAGGGTCGGATAGCCAAAGCTCCCAGCAGTTTTGATCTGAGGTATAATAAAAAAATATCTATTAGTAAAGGTAACAACAGGAAGGTGAAGACAGAGACACACATTCCCAATTTGCGACACGCAGGACAATTAGATGGTGTGAACATCCCCGGGGGGATGGTACATCCGGGGGTCATTAATAATGCGGATCATTTAATGGGAAGTGTGAAAGGTTCCTGGAAAGGGTTACACACATATGGTAGTAATGGAAGCGTGAATCCCACTTATGTGGACGCTTATAATATGAGCAGCCCCCCAGATAGGCTGTGGAAGGATAGTATGTGCCAAAATGGAAATGCCTACTGTTTGGAGGACTACCTCAATGGAAATGCAAACTGGTATGGTGGAGAGAGGATGCGGGCCCAGATGAGCATGAGGAGCAGTCGAGTTGAAAGGGGCAAAACTAGAGGCAGCCACAAGAAGGGGCTCACTAAGAAGCGCAGCTTTAATACGGAAGGGGACTTCCCCGACTTGGACATGCCTCCGATGTGCTTGGCGGATTATAACCTCGCCAATTATGGGGCCTACGTGAATTATGCAAACGGGGGGGGGGTTCCAAACGGGGGAGGCTTCCCCAATTACCATGTGAGTTCTCTTCACGACATGAATGGGGGCGCAGGAGGATATTACTACTACGGTGGGGAGTTACCCTATGCCGTCGCGGCGACGTTCGAACAGAACAGTTACATGGATCCGAGCTCAATGAGCCGGGGAAAGTACCTTCATAACAGTGAAGTGGTCAGCACGAGCGAGGTGGGTGCGGGGGGAAGTGCAATTGACCGAAGCGCAATTGAGAGAGTCCCAATTGACGGAAGTGCAAATATGGGGAATTATTTCTTTAACCATGGAGCAACCGGCTTTGTTGGGGTCCCTCACCCCATGGGCAACTCGCTGGAAGGATACAATTACGCGGGCGCCTCCCCTCCAGGAGGTTTCGTTTCGAGCGGCATGGGAGGCAGTGGCGCGAATGGGGCGAATGGCGGTGTGCACCAGGGGGTGAACTACGGGTGCAATTATGGAGGCGACTACTACCAGGGTTACTACTCCCCCTATGACGGAAAAGCAAATGAGAAGTTGATGGTGGGAATCGGCGGGCGGACAAACCTCCTCTCGTTGGAAGGCTACCCAGCCTCATTGCCATACGGTCTGCAGGTAAGGAACGACATCAGCATGGACGCCAGGAACTGCATCGACATATACAGGATTCTATTAGGACTAAACAGAAGAAAAGAAAAAGTGGCAGATTTTATATTATGTCTCAACGTTCTGTATACCCTATCGGTCACCAATGATATGTCTCTATCGAGGAAGCAAATTAATATAATCATCTCTATGCTGTTGCAAGTACTGGACGAGATGCTCAGCATCTTTTACTCCAAGGTCAGAATGAAGGATAGGGCTCTGGAGATAATGGTAAAAAGTTTTAGCGATTATTTATCAAACCAGAATGGGTGGGCGGCTGGGAAGGGGTATATGACACTGGGTGGTGATGATCACAGTGGCTTCGTGACCACTAGGGAGGGTAAGTACCCCATGGGATGCGGCGTATGTTCAGCACCGGGGGGTGATAATTTGGACTTTAAAGGGGGAAAAACTCTGGAGGGATCCCCCCAGGGGGAGAGAAGCGCCATCATGGGGACGGTCCTAAGTGAAGAAGTAAACGTGAGCGAGATAGCCCGTTTGTATTTATCCTACAGTGGATACTGCCGTGATAAGAGGCGGAAAATCAGGCACGCGGGCAGGTCGTCCGGGGAGATGGGAAGCCGGTCAGAAGTGACCGACGCACCGGAAGGGAATGACGGAACCGAGGTAAATAACGCAACAGAGGCGAATGACTCAGCAGAGGGGAATAACTCAGTAGAGGCTAATAACTCAGTAGAGGCGAATGACTCAGTAATGGCGAATGACTCAGTAGAGGCGAATGACTCAGCGGGGGTGGAAAACTCGTCGGAGGAAGATTCCCCCGGGGAAGGAACCAGCACGGCCGACGGCGGAAGCCACTGGGAAGAGGGGCTCCCCTGGAGCTCCAACCCCCCCAGCAGCGTGGACAGCTCGGATATAGAGAACATAATCATGGGGGGAACGACGACTAGAGGAGGAAACCAATCAGCAGAGAGTCTATACAAAGATAAAGAGGAATTGAAAAAATCTCTCATAAAAAAAAGCAGCCAAGAATTTGTCTTCCTAATCCTATATATAATGAATAACATCTTTCAAACGAGAAAGTATAACCTTTATTTTTGTGATAAAAAAAGTGACGACATTAAGGAAGGCTTGGTAGCAGAAGAGACAGACAAGATAGAAACATCCAGGGGTAGGGACACAACACAAACGGGTGGTAGCTTCGACAAAATGGATATCGGAAAGATTAAGGAAAATCTTAAGAGGGAAAAGATCCCTGAGGGAAATTCCACTTGTGATGATATGCCTGAGGAGAGTAAAATGAACGAACTGTGTAAGGACAGCCAAGAGAGTGATAAAATAAATATCGGTGATAATAATGATATAGGTGAATCGAGTGGGAAGGATGATGGAGGGGAGCACTCAACAGGGGTAGGTCATCTCTTGTGCAGTAGGACTGTCGATAAGGAGTTCTGGTCAGACGACTCGTCCGATTCATCATCAGGCTGTAGCCTCTGCAGCTACAAGAACGGGGTAGTCAAAAAGGAGGATCCTCCAAGTAGGGGCATGACTAGGGGGTATGGCAAAATTCTGAGCGATAAGAAAAAAATGATGGAAAGTGGGGGTGAACTGATCGGGGAAGGTGTTCGTGTGAGTGTGAAGGTTCAAGGGGGTGAAGAGGAGACCAACACCAAACTTTGTGACAGGGGGGAAGCGGCGAGTGGGATTGGCTGGACGGAGCAGGTAGGTGACGCGGCGTTTCTCAAAGGGGAGGCCAAATGGCCAAGCGATCAGGCGAAATGGCAAAGCGATCAGGCGAAGTGGCAAAGCGAGCAGACCAATGTATGTGATAAGCGTGAGAACAGCCGCTTGAGCAGTATCTGCGGTTATTCTCTACCCCCCAGTAGCGAAATGCTGCCCATTCGTGAGGAAGGGTCTTCTCTGGAGACTGCGAATTTTTCCATGCCGAAGAGTGAGGTGCCCTTCATGGCTGACAAGTCGTCAGCTCATTTAGGAAGTGGATCCAACGGAGATGTGAACCAGCACGTGAGGAACAACGTCGATCAGGAGAAAGCACACGACGTGAATTGCACCAGGGAGAAGCTTAACCGACAAGGGGGTAACCTGTGCGATAGTAATTTCCCCAATAACGGTTTCGACGAAGCGACAAATGGAGGTGAAGGTGTGAAGAGCCTCCTGAGCAGGCACAATAACGAAGCGATTTCCCGAAATGACGATTTTGCAAACGACATCAAGGTGAAGGAAGAAGGGGGTGCTGCAAATAGGGTAGTAGACGCGCAAAAGGATGACCCATCCATTCACGAGGACAACAATGGGGGTACCCCTAATGGAGGGAGCGGTATGGGAATGCAGATGCACCCCTTGGAAGGTACCAGTACTTCGAGTAGCCACCATTTAAGTGGCAACCGGAGTGCAGAGAATTACGATCGAGGGGGGGACCAAAAGTCTGATGACGCCGCGCTTTCTCATGTAGTTAAGAAAGATTCGGGTGAGACATCTTCCCCCCAGCAGATGAGCAACAGCAATTACGGGGCGTATCCCGATCCGGGCATAGCCGAAATTATTACACAGAGTGTGAATGACCCCGTTTTAGTGGGAAGCACGTATAACATGACAAGTCACGTGAACCCACTGGGAGGGGGTGAAGTATATGGAGCCCAATTCGAGAAAACTTACAACAGTCAGGTGAGCGGCATCCCCCTTGGAGGGAGCCCGTACGCGCAAAATTCCCCCACAAATTACGATGGGCTGATAAGCGGCCTTTACGCGCCGAACGAAGATGATGGGACGAATGGCCTTCCCGGGGGAGGTACCCAAATGAGGAAGCAGGAGGAAATGACAACGCTGAGGGGAGCAGTCAAGCAGGAAAATAACCGGGTGGGAAATGTCCAATGTATGAACGAAAATGGGGAAATCAATGAGGAGGAGAAATTCTGCAAAAAATGTGGCACAACAGGGATAAACATCGAGAGGAAAGACAACCAGCAGGACAACCAGCCAGGCAACCAGCAGGACAACCAGCAAGGCAACCAGCAGGACAACCAGGGAAACAAACCGTCAAACAGCCAGGAAGACAACAAGAAGGAAATGAAGAAAATTTTTAAAAATATGAAAAAGGAGGTATACGAAGAAATGAAAAAAATATTTCAAGAGAAAAAAATAAAACAAAACAAACTTCTACACTATTTTGACATAAGTAAATTTTTAAGTATCTTTGAATTAATTTTTTTAAAAAATTTCGAAAATATTATTTTCCATGAGAAGGCAATACAAAATATTTACCTGAACATGTTCATATGTGTGGACATATTAAATAACGAATTAGGAAGAAGCATTTCTCTCAAGTATATATTTTTTCCTTCTCAGTTTTTGCAACGTAAAAGTAAGTTGAAAATTACTGCCCTTTTCGATAAGAAGAATAAGCTGTTCATTGAATCGGAGGTGCACACAGAGGAGTCCAGATCATTTTCACACGAGGGGGATACTCCCAAGGGGGGGAAGAAAACTGAAGGGGAGAATGTCCAGGAGGACAAAATAAATTGTTTCCCTATCCTTTTGGAGAAGGACACAAATGGGGAAGACATCCTACAAAATGGATCTGCGGAAAAAACATCAATAGGGGAAGTCGAAAGAGAAGAGGAGGAGCCCCCCCCTCCGGTAATGGCCGGAGGGACAAACCAACTTAGCGGAATGGAATACAGGAAAAAGATAAAAAAACTGTTTTTAAAAATATTCCGAAGAAACAACAAAAAATATAATATTTATAAAAAAATTGATTACGAGTTTTTAATGAGGAAGTATAAGTACAATGGTCCACTCATTTGTCAAGAGAAGGAGAAGTTTAAAAAATATATCATCCTTGATTTGCACGAAATTACGAAAAAGATTCTTTTAAAAGTGTATAAGCGGGTCAATAGTCACCTGAACATTGCCATTTTGTCCTTAAATATATTAACTCACATTTTGTATTTAATTCCGAAGAGGATGTTGCATGTGTCTTTTATTTTCTGGATTTTAAATGAAACAATAAATGTCAAGTGTGCGTACACTTATTTAAGTGTCCCTTTGTGCATTTTGAATTACAACGGATTTCTCTTCCTAGAAACGATGATGAAGCTCATCATTCGCATGATTGAGAATGACGTTATGCCGTTGCACTCTTATATGTTGTCCTTCCTTCGCTTGTGCTCATTCCCATTGTATATTTATCTCTATTTTGATATCCCCGTGTCGCACACACTTATCATTACCGCCCTGTCCACCTTATATCTCCTGGTTACTTACGACCCTGACTTTTTGGCCACAGGCTTCGTTAGTGCGAAAGCCGGCGGGGGGCGTTCCTCTATGGGAAGCTGCGTCAAGGGTGGCGACGACGCGGCGCACGGGGAGAACACCACCAGCGCCGACCACGTTTGCAAGAAGAGAAGGCTTTCGGAGTTGTCTGTCTCGGGGGAGGGGAGCGGCAAGGATAGCGGCGAGGACGGCGGCGAGAACAGCGACGAGGTCAAGAGCGAAGTCAAGTGCCAAGTGAAGCACGAAGTCAAAGACGAAGGTACGCCGGAGGAGCCTCGGGAAGAGTCTCGCGAAAACGCGCACGAAGAACTGACAGAGGAGAGGAAGGAGCTGCTCGAAAAAATCTTTATCAAAACCATGTTGCTCTTCCTGAAGAAGTCCATTTACTTTAAAAGCATTTTCAACTGCGCCAATATAAACGAGAAGGAAGAAATGCTCGTGGATAGCAGGAGGGTGCAAGTCATTTTAAAAAACTGGAGGATGCATAGCGAAGAAATGGAAAAGGAAAAAGAGGAGTTGTATTCCTCCAACATGGAAAATAAGGTTTTCTATTTACACGACAATTTGCTTTTATACGCTTTGGATAATTTACCCATTTCCAGCCCTGCCAAAGACATGAAGATGTGTGAAAATATAAAGAACCAGTTTATCAATCAGTACTGCAGCACAGTTTCCTTCTCCTATGACTTTGTTATGTCTGAGAGTACGGAAGTACAGAGACTTAGTATTTACGCGCATTCGATAGTGCCTATTTTTTTGTTCCTATCCTCTCACCGTATCTTATGGCAATGTTTGTCTCCCCACATCCCGTTGCTGACGCAGGTAAGGAGCACTGTGAGGGGTAACTATCCTTTTGCACACGTATGGAAGCCAAACCGGAAGTGGTGGCGCATAGCAATGTGAACTAATAATCCATTTGGTACTTTTTTGGGGGAACCTTCAACTGAGGCATGTCGCATGTATGTTACGCATTCTCCGCGAAACGGTTTAATCATTTTTTTTTTTTTTTTTCTCTTCGTTTCTTCCCGAGCAGATGGCATTCATCCAGACGGACATCAGTCGGTCCCTGTGGGTAATACTGAAGGAGTACTATTTTAGAAGCTTCATGCGGGAGAAGCGCAGTGGGAAAAAGGGCGACTTGTGTTTTGACTCCCGGTTGGTCAAGATTGAGAGGGTGAAGAAGAACGTAGTGGGGTGAAGAAGAACGTACCAGGATGAATAGAATTGAGGCCATTTGCTACTTCCGCGTGGTTCACACTCATTCCTGTGTGTTTTTTTTTTTTGTGGATTTGTACTCAGAAAGAGGGGAGCCTCGCCTCGTCGGATGCTGCTAAGGAGGTATCCCCCCGCCAGGTTAAGCATTATAGCTGGTTATTTTACCCCCGTGTCTACCAACGCGTGAGCGAACATATTCATCGGCGTATTTATTGGCCTCTTTATCGGCATATTTATCCGCACGTGCACCTGCGCATTGATTTTCCCCCCCCAAACTGACTTCACATGAACGTCCGTCAACTTGCTACATGGCGCGAACTTTGCTACATAGAGTGCGCCGTGCGTGTGTGCACTTTTTATTTCAATGAATTATCCTCCGCTGAGCTTGATAGCTGAAAAGATGACGAACGGGGAATTGGTAGGCGAGGTGTTCCAGGTGTGCACACGCGTAAGTCGTTTTTTAAAACGCCCCAAACGAACAGCGCAGGGGGAGAGTATACCAAGTCTGCGCGGCGGTCACACCAATACGACTTTAAAAAAATACCCACCCTGCAGGAGCAGTTCCATGGAGTCATGGAAGACACTGCGAAAGGGAGGTAGTTTTAAGAAGGGGCTTGGGGAGATACCAAAATGAGTTTATTCTATGTAGGTACCTCCTGCAGCCTGTTAATTAACAAAAAAAAAAAAAAAAAGAAGAAAACAATAAAATGAGGAATGAACAAAAAATGCATAGCATGTGGACATCAAATATGCAAATTAAAAGAGGTCATTTTTTTTAAAAGGTAAAAATGGCTGTTTAATATGTGCAGTTTTTTTTTTCTTTTTTTTTCCAAAGGTGAAAATGGCTAGCTATTTCTTCCCTTTTGCTTGAACAGGCAAGGCATTTTATTCCATTTTGCGGAACTATGTCCCGTTTATTCGGTATATTCTGTCTATTCCGTTTATTCTGTCTATGCCGTTTATTCTGTCTATTCCGTTTATTCTGTCTATGCCGTTTATTCTGTCTATTCCGTTTATTCTGTCTATTCCGTTTATTCGGTTTATTTTGTTTATTCGGTTTATTTTGTTTATTCGGTTTATTTTGTTTATTCGGTTTATTTTGTTTATTCGGTTTATTTTGTTTATTTTGCTTTTTCAATTTTTTTCCTCTTTTTCGAACCCCTTACGACGTGTCGAACCAGAAAACAACCCCGACAATGAGGTACGCCGTGATGAGGAGAACCCCCTCCAACCAGTTGCTCTCCCCGTCTTGCACAATTGCCATGGTGACAATGACAGAAATTACTAAAATGACGCTGGAGAGGGGCGAAAAGGCGAGGGTCATTGGTTTATTTAAAATCCAGCCAAAAAGTACCGTAACTGGGACAACGAAAAGGGCAATCTGTGCAGAGGATCCGACAGCTACCCCCATGGTTAAGTCGACTTTGTTTTTTATAGCCACTGTAACGGCTGTTAAATGCTCCGTGGCGTTACCTACTACGGGCAAAAGAATAACTCCAATAAAATTTTCAGATATGTTGTAATACTTGACAACTGCTTCAATGGTGGTAATAAGATATTCCGAGTGGATGCTTACAAGGACCGTTATTAGGATTAAAAAAATGGATCCTGCGAGAACGGACAGCTGTGGCACTTCTTCAGTCATTTCTTTGTCTTGAAATAGTGATATATGTGTGTACAATTGAAACAGAAGAAATAAGCAGTAGGTTAAAAAAATCAAAACTGCAGTTATTCTGGATACTTTTAAAAGTACTTCAACGTTATTGTTTGTGGTAACTGATGAGACGGTCGGAATGGTTATAGCCAGACTGGATAGGAGCAACAACGAGGTACTGCACGTTGCTCCCTTCTCATTAAATTTTTGTACATGATGATATAAGCCGCCAGCGAAAAAAGACATGCCAAGGACTAGCAGCAAATTGGACAGTATACTTCCTAGAAGTGTCCCCTGGACGACATTTATCAACCCAGCGTTTAAGGCTTGAATGGAGAATATCATTTCCATCAGATTGCCGAATGTAGCATTTAGCAAGCCACCAATTATTTCTCCTGTGTGCAAGGCCAAGTCTTCTGTTACATGCCCCATCAGCGCCGACAGAGGTATCAACGCCATGAAGTTAAAAAAGAAAATGTATATGTCTTTGCACCCTATGAGGTAACTTATAATTCCTATTGGCACAAAAATTAAGAATATGTTTAACTTATTTTTTAGCATATTGTAAATCCCTGAGACATCGCTTTTTTTGAGAGAATAATATGGCCCTATTTCTCTGTATCCGAAATGTTCATCGAGATCATCGTCAAGTCCTCCATTGGGCGTTTTGTTGTTACATAGCAGTTGCAAGTGCAGATTTTTGTTTCGTATTAAATTTGTGTCGTTCAGGCCCGTTGTGCCCTTGGTGCTTTTGATCTGGGCCACATTTTTGTTTAGCGGCTGCGAAATTGTGCGTCTTACGTAAGACGTGGCGCGCACTCTGCCCATAACCATCTTGGCTCTCGCGAAGGTAAAGCGGTGCGAAGCGGCGGAGAAGCGGTGGCAGAGTGTCGAAGCCGCGGAAAAGAAGTGGCAGAGTGTCGAAGGGGCGTAGCTGCCCAGAGGCAAGGTGTAGGATATATCCCTGGGGGGGTCAACTCGACTGGGTGCGGCGAATCACTAAGAAGAAGCATGTACACGGGCCCATTACGCAGGAGCTTCGTAAGCAACAGTGACAAACCAGGGGTCAGCGGCGAAACGGTACAACGCTGCAACGTTGAGGTGAAGGGGGAGGGGAGAATGAATCAAGGGGGGAAATTTGCACTGCGGATATGCAATATGTGTTTGTATTGTGCAAGGGGGTGAAAAATCACAACTTAGAAAAAAAAGAAAAACTACTTTTTCAATTGCGAAAAGAGTACACGTGGCCTTCCTTTTCCATTTGTGTAGCGTCGGGGCGGGCACAGGAGGGGGAAATTAAACGAGGTATTCCTCGGTTTGCACGGCTACCCTGCCTAGGTTCGCGGTGGGTGCTGCAGTGTGAGAGCTGAGGCGTGAGAACCTCGAACGTGTGAACAATGAGGAATTGGAGCCGAGGAGGAACCATATACCCAAGTGCATAATTTGGCGGCACACATAAGCGCAGCTCCCCGCAAGGTTTACACATCCACTGGGGGGTAGGGAAAAATGGGCCAACGGAAAGTTCCTGTTTGAGGGGCAGGGAAGTTAAGTTGGTAGGCTAGGTAAAATGGTGTATGCCAAATGAGGGCAGAGGGATCGAAATGGGGAAAAAAATATATATAAACAAAATACACAAAATATACATTTATATGGAACAAATAAATCACAAAATGGCAAAAAGCACATGGTTCACTAAATTCGCTCTGAGGGAGATCCCTGGTATATTGTGAACGTGGCCGAGCGAAGTAACCTGCGCAGAATTGCTTCTTAAGCAAGCTTCGCCTACATTAGATCCTTTTTTTTTTCTTTTTTTTTTTCCCCTGTTAGATGAACACAGAGCGAGAAAATCGCAAAGGGAAAAGTGTGAAAGGACTTTTTTTAAAGTCCCACCCCTCCACCAAAAGAAAAAAAGGAGATAAGCACATGCAGATCAGATATGTGTGGCCTTGGTGGGAGCGGATATTTCTACACCTCTTTT